TTCTGATTTCATTTTTCCCAGATCCTCTTTTGTTGCCAGTTCAGGGAGTCCAGGTGGTTGAGTATCAGATTGTTCCATCTTGTTTCCCTTTGAGGTTGCTGTAGGTGATCTGGAAGTCTGCTTTTGAGGCTTGTTTATGTGTCTTCTCATTTCCACAGGGCCGGGGGGTGCTTCTGGCATCTGCAGCGCACCTTCTCTGCCCTAGGAGCATGGAATGGTGGTGGGGGAGCCTCCTCCCGGGTGCTGGGACTGGCTTACCTTCTCTGCTCTAGGAACATGGAATCTTCCTCATTAAATCTTTATTATCTCTGCTTTGTGTCATGTTCTGAAAGTATGGAAAATATGGAAAATGGCCTGAATTGTATGGTATGTCTTGCAGCAAAACAGTATGAGGGTATGAACAGAGATAAAGCTATTTATTAAATTTGTAATTCTTGCTTTTAAAATATAGTTATGTAATTTATACTTCTTTGAAAGTATAAAAGTGCATTAAGAGTCTATGTACTTGGGGAAAACTCTTGAACCTGGCCCAAGTACAAAATTTAAAGGCGTCATACATTTAAAAAAAATTCTGTTTCTTTTAAATAAATTCTATTTCTTGAATGTATTTCAAATAAAGAAGTTCACAATAATAAGAGGCACAAGAATCTAAAGTGTATTTAAAAACTCAAAGATTAAAAAATTAAAACATAAAGACAACAGGAGAGAAAACATCAATACTTTGGAAGCTGTCATTGGAGGAAAAGGGGACAATTCTTGTATTAGTTATCTTATTGTTGTAATGAATTATCACAAATTTAGTGACTTGGAACAATGAAACTCAGTATCTGCCAGTTTCTATGGTCAGGAATCTGGGTACAGCTTTTTCTGTGTCCTACAATCAGGGTCTTCCCAGGCTGCAATGTTGGTGGCAGCCAGGCTGTGTTCTCATCTGAAGAGTCAACTAGGGAAAATTCCATTTCCAAACTGATAAGGGTTTTTGGAAAATTCACTTTTCTTTAGCTGCACAGCTGAAGACCCCAGCTTCTTACAGCTGGCAGGGAGAGGCCACACATAGGTGATTGTCATGGCCCTCTCACATACCCTTCCACAACATGGCTACTTGACTTTCTCAAAATCAGTAGGAGTTTCTGTCACTAGCCTGAAACAATGGACACAGGGGGATCTCTTCCCTTAGCCAAAGACAGACATCCACATTTTATTGGTTAGGAGCAAGTCCCAGATTCCTATGTGTACTCAAAAGGGGATTATGCAAAGATGTGTGGCTCCCTGGAGTCACTGGATAGTGTGTCTGTCACAAGTCCTAGTGTTTATCATGAGTAGCTTCTTTCTGCAGGGTAGATTGCTACTAGCTGATGATCTCTTTCCCATCCTCTGGAATAAACTTAGAACATGGTCTCCGTATAAACTTAGAATATGGTCTTCATGTCTATTCCTGAAAGAAGAAAGTACAAGCTTAATTAATTAGCAAAATTTTTTTCATTTTACTCTTGCTAGATATGGCCATATTTTAATAATTAGTAGCCAGGCCTGGGGGCCTAGCTTAGATGTAGCATATGTGCTTAGCATACATGGGTTGAACCTCCAGCACCAAAAAAGAAATGAAAAATTAGTTATTATTACCCCCAAACAAGTGAAAAACAGACTTTATAGATCACTTGTCCATGTTAAAATGTTAAAGTGAAAAACAGATATGCATATTTCAAAGAAGGGTAATCTCTGAAGTGAAAGTTGTGAAAAAGATAACAAGAATGGAAAATAAAACTCAAAGAATTAAGAATGAAATCTTAAAGAAATGTTTAGAGGAAGTTTATTCTTGTAAAACTGAGTATGAAGGGTTTCACAGAGCAGTTGGACAGATCTGTACAAGTTTCAGAAAGACTGAAACAAAGTAAAAACTGTTGTTATCCACAAAATTTTAAAGATAGAAATTAGAGGTCATATGTAATGCCACACCTTAAAAAAAGTTGATTAAAGCCAACATGAATTACCAGGTTTGGCAAGAAGGTACCATATCAAGAAAGAGTATAAAAACTTGAGAAAAGATTTTTGGAGTCTCATAGTTAGAACTGGCCTTCACAAAGAAGGACATGCCATAGTCACCTAGGCACATGTTAGGTGACCTATTTAAAGGGAGAAGGAAAAGAAAAACAACAAAATAATCTTAATCATAAGGACAAAGATTTTCTTAAAAAGTATTCCAGACACTAAAACATGAAAATGGGGAAAATGGAATAGGAGATTAGAAAACAATGGACATTTGGAAATCAACTTAGATTAAAACAAACTGATAGAAGATATCTGTGAATATTTAGTTGGTTTTTCTTCAGTTAAAATGGTTTTAATTATGTCAATATATGTAAAATATAAATTATTTCATTACTCAAAAATTGACAATAATATAAATATGAAAACATTTTGATAAACAACTATACAGCTTTAAGGTATATTTTAATGTTCTGAGTCAACTAAGATGCTTGTCTTGCTATTATTAATTATTTATAATAATATAATTATGTAGATTATTGAAATCTAAATATATATTTGCTACTGATATCAAAGTCAGTATAAATTTAGTTGTTCTACTAGAGTTTTTAAATATATTCTTTCTTTGAATAGGTTTATTTATGCACTTATTTTCAGTTTTCTTTGAGAAGGTACTTTAATATCAATTAATAATTTTTTTAAAAACTGTTTTTGCCTGCTCTATACAAATGAAACCACAAGATGATAATCTTCATAATTTTCATAAAATTCTGAAAAGATTATCTGGCATAATATATTTCCTCTTTATCTCAGAAAAATGCATAATGTATATTCAGTTACTATAAATAATCTATGCCTATGAATAGTACCTCCAGCTTAACCAAAGGAACTAACTGATGGAGATGATGATTTTGAAATTCAGTATTTAAAAATTCATCCGTTGAATTAAATAAGCCCCACTGTTTTGGTTTACCTGAGAGAAACAAATTTTTTTTAATTTTTGAAGTTAGTCTTAATATCATTATGTGTTTCACTTCTTTGAGATTCTATGATTTCTTCACCCTATTTAAAAAAAACAGAAGTATAAGAAGGATCGTATATAAGGATATATCTTAAATTTCTTATTTTTGCTCCATTCTGAGCCCCCATCCTATCATTTTAAAGATTTATGAATATATAGAGACCATACTATCAAAATATACAATTTCAACACATTTACACACGCTCTTAATTCGAAGTTAGAAATGAAACAGTATTGCTCAGAAAATTATTAGAATATGAACTTCATCTCAGTTGTAATTGTCTTAAAATCAATATCCTTTTATTTGAACAAGCAGCAGCAAAAATTATTAAGATAAGACCCTTGCAATTTAGGTTAAATTATAGTTCAATCATGAATTTGTTAGATCATTTGGGCGAATTGTTTCAACAATTTCCATTTCTGTATAATAAGCATAATCATCTTTGTTGGATACTGTGAATTTGAAGAACATGTTTTTGGAAAAACTTTAAAGAATCTTGGGTAAATGGGAGGAAATATTATTTGCAAAGAGGTAAACCATGTCCTTGTTATTTCTATTTGAGTAGTACGTGCATTCATTTACAAACAGATTCAGAGTAAAATATACTTCATGAAATAAAGTCTAGAACAGGCTTTTAAAAATAAGAGTCAGAGGAATAAAGCAGATAAGTTAGTTTAAATACCTAAATTCTGAGGAGTCATTTTATTCATTCTACATAGCATCCAAAACATATCAGTGCCAAGTATTCTTTTGTTGATTTTTTAAAACTTCCCAAATGAAAAAAAAATACTAAAGAAGCAAAATTCAATTTAGAACAGGCTGCAGAGACAGTCATAAATGTGACCTGTCATGTTAAAACTCCAGCCTGCTTCCACCTGCGTACTTGGCCATCCAGCTGCCCCTCAGAACACACAGTTGTCCTGGGGATGGTGTTTCCATGGCTATCATCTGCCACTTCTCTGCTGCTGCAGCTGATTAGACAAAAACCCTCTGCCAGCTCTGACTAATAGAGCTCGTGCAGAGCCACATAATTATCTTTTGTAGCTCCAATTTCCAAGGATTTGACCACAAGTTAAAACAGTCATTTACCTGTTTTTATATCTTTGATTTTATCATTTCTAAAGGTGTTTCATATTATTACACTTACCATCTCTTCCTGTTCAGTGTACATCCTATTCCCATTAGCTTTCATCTATGTCTTCCTTAAATCTCAGCTAACAAGATCTCTGATATATAACTAGCCATTTCTTTCCCTTGAATGTCCTTTAAGACGGACAAAAATGTCTGTGAAGACACACAACTGGTTGAAGTACACCTTCAGGTGATCATACCACAGGTGGCAACTGCTAAGAAATACCAAATATTTGTGTTTGTGTTTTTCAGAACCAGTAAGATAAGAACTGTCTTAAGGTAGTAGAGAATTAACAGATGTTAGGCCTGCAATCATTGCTAGAGGACATATTACAAATCAGCAACCTCAGGAGCTCATTAAGTTTGCCAGAGTACTTTGGTATTTTGATTCTGCCTGACGAACCCCAAGAAAAGAAATTCACCCTGCATTTAGGTTTAGAATTTGTATATTCACTATGCTTTCCCTGTGTATACTACCTTTTTAAAAGGTAAGTTTCCAACGTTATAATTTTGAGTGTTCAGTAAGGTGAAATATGTCTTTTTGAAAAATCATGCCTTCCTTTAAAAATTATAACATGAAGTTTGTTGATTATCTGTCCTTTTTAAAACTAAAATATTTCTTTTTTATATTTTAAGAATGAAAAGTGAATGGTTTGTATACCATGCATTCAGCTTTTTCTATTGCATCAATTTAAACTGTAAGTCAGTTCTTCTTTCCAGGTATTATAAACTGTCATGCCCCAACAAGCTATTTTTATATCACAGAAAATGCAATTTCCAATTTGCAATATGCAGCTTCTTTTCTCAGGTCCAGAGTCAAGTCCTGCTTATAAAGATGCGCAAGCAAAACTTTGTCAGGCATGTTGTTGTGTTATACACTGAAACACATGTCAGACGATGAGAAATAAATATTCCCAATTTATGCAATATTTTGAAAGATAAAACTAGATTTTATAGGAAGGGTAATGAGACAAAGTTTCCCTGAAATTTCTATTATTAATTAAAACATCGATCATGAGCTACAATTGAATATCAATTATGACAACACTTGTCCTGCAATCATTTTCCAAAAAGCTCAGCAGCATTCCTGTCTTTAAACACTGCAGTGTCCTGAGTTGCCTACCACGACAGTTCTTCCGTATTTCTCCACAAACCCCCTTGACAAGACACACCTCCCCACTGAGGTCTGAATCACCAACTCTGGGAGTACAGATCCAGAAAGTACACTGATGGGGACTCAGCTCCACACAGTAAGCAATATATTAGCTTACGGGAGACTTGTCGCCTTTCTCTATATTCCAAGTCTCCTTTCCAGTGAAGACAGGTGGAGCTCCAGCACTCATGCTCCATTGGCTGCATACATCTCATAGTATTCAGGAGACAAATAGCTCTATGGATTCATTCAGCAGGTATTTATTGAGTGCCTACCCTATGGCAGGGGTGGTGTTAAACCCTAGGGGTATACAGCCATGAACTAAACATTAATTTTATTCTTATAATCCTGTATTGTAGATATTAATAATTTACATATTAGAAGCAACACAGTGCTAACCAAATCTTTTTAAGCCCACAAAAAAATATTAACTCCATGTTAAAAAAAGGTTGAAGTCTAGCAGGTACTCTTTTATGATTAAAGAAAAGAAAATTTGGATATTTTTCCTTACTACAAATCTGACAAGCTGGGCATGGTGGCACATGCCTATAATCCCAGCACTTGGGAATCAGAGGCAGGAGGATTGCTGCTAGTTTGAGACCAGCCTGGGCTACATAGTGAGACCCTTGTCTCAAAAAAAAAAATCTGACAGTAGTTATCTTTCATTTTAAAATATATTGAAAAATTCACAAAAAGAAATGAATAAAAAGATAATAACACAAGTAAAAAGTTGGTAAAGAATTTGGATGCATTTGTCCAAAGAACATACACAAATGGCCTATAAACACTTGAAAGATACTCAACATCATTAGCCAGAATAAAATCAAAATCAAAATCACAGTGAGATACTACTTGACACATAATCAGACTTTTGTAATATAAGAGACAGATAATAAGAAGTGTTGGAGAGAACACAGAGAACTTCAAACGTTCATACACTCCTGGTATGGATAGAAAATGTGCAGCCCTCATTGAGGCCATACTCTTAAGTGAAATAAATAGGACACACATGTGTAAATACCGAATAGTTTTTCTGGTGTGAGAAACTGAAAGTGTAAATAAGGACTAAATGTATAATAGGTCATGTGAAATAGGAAGAAAAGGGGCAAAGGGGAAGGAAGTGGGAAGGGTAGGGGAAAGGAAAGAAGGGAATGGGATTAATATGAGAAAATGGAAAAATAGGAACAAAGTCTTTGTAAATAGATAAGGATGGAGGGGTTGAAGGGAGGGCAGGGGAAAGGGGGAAAAATAAGAACCAAGAGGGCGAGGGATTTAGTTCAGTGGTTTCACTGCCTGCGGCGGCGCAAGCGCAAGGACCCGAGTTCGATCCCCGGTACCAAAAAAAAAAAAAAGACCAGGGAAGCCTATGTAAAGGTGCAAATTTCCAATGATGAATGTCATTATATTGTACACCTAAAATGTACCAATAAAATTAATTTTTAAAAAAGAAAATGTGCAGCCCTGTAGAAGATATTTTAGTGGTTTTTAGAAAAACTAAAATAGAATTACCGTATATCCTAGCAATTTCACTTGTAGGTATATACTCCCCAAAATAGAAAACAGGTACTCCAACAAACACTTGTATAGGAATATTCATTACAGCACTTTAAAAACAGCCAAGAGGTAAAAACAAATCCCTCAGTGGATGAATGGATAAATAAAATCGTTTATCCATACAGTGAAATATGACCTAGCCTTAAAAAGAAATGAAGCACTGGCTTGTGCTACAACATGGATGAACCTTGAAAATACTGTGCTTAGTCTACGAACCCAGCCTCCAAAGGCCACATTTCATAGGAGTCTGTTTACATGAAATGCACAGGACAGGCAATTCTGCAGAGACAGAAAGCTGACCGGTGGTGGCAAGAGGTATGGGGGAAGAGAATTGGCTGCTAATGGGTATGAAATTTCTTTTAGCGCTGATACAAATCTTTAAGAATTAGTGGTATTGGTTGTACAACTTTGAATCTTCTAAAATTCATTAAATTGTATACTTGAAAAGAGGTGGATTGTATGGTATGTAAATTATATGTCAGTTTTAAAAGGAAAAACATCAATAAAAAAAGAGAACTAGATAGTTATCTGATGAAAACCTTAAATAAAGACAGTATCATTCCTGTTCCTCTTGGCCCCAAACATATCAAACATCAATAGTCTCAGGATAATAAGGGAAGCTTACATTGACTTCATTTGTTTTAGAAATTATTTCACAGTGAAATTCGGAGACTGGAGTTTTGAGTAAAGGAAATGAAATGCAGACATTTGAGTGCATCAACCTTATGGTTTGAGATTATGTATTCCTTGGAAGTAGTAGCTAGTATGATTTATGACATCTCAAGTCTGAGAACTTTGTATTTTGTATGCCAATTCATCTGGAGGTAAATGAAATTAGCTTCTAAAGAAGATATAGTTTTGGAGGCATGTAAAAATAGTGGTGAGGATAATTTTACTCAAGTCAAATGAGAAATATCTTGTAATTTCAATTTTAGTAAAAATAGTATAGAGGTGTGTGTTTGTGTGTGTGTGTGTGTGTATGTGTATGCAAGTGCATAATAGTTAAAATTTCTTATGCTTCTCCTGGACTTACACTGAATTTTAAGCAAAATTTTAGATGAACACCCACAAGTCAATTCCTAGTATATTTGGAATTTTGCAGAATTTAGTACTGTGAAGTGAATTTCAAAGGGTATGACTTTGTGTGGCCCCTGCACTGCGGGGGTCCCTTGATCATTTCCAGCTCTCTGTTCATATCTTGGTACAGTTCAACTGAAAGTTTAGAAATCTTATGGGCAAGTCTTTTCTTTTTTTGATCCAAGCTGTATTCTCCAAGATAGTCCTTGGACTTGTTTGTTTTTTTGGTACTGGGGATCGAACTTGGGACCTTGTGCTTGCGAGGCAGGCAGTGGAGCCACTGAGCTAAACCCCCAGCCCAGTCCTTGGACTTGTATCCTATTAAGAAATCTGAAGCCAGACATTTGTGATGGATGCCTGTAATCCCATCAACTTGGGAAGATGAGGCAGGTGGATGACTTGTGCCCAGGGATTCAAGACCAGTCTGGGCAGTATAGTAAGACTCTGAGAAAAAGGAAGGGAGGGAGAGAAAGGTGGAAAGGAGGAAAGTAAGAAGCGGGGTGGGGGGGGGATTAATTTGGAGTCAAATAGAGTTGCTCCAAAAGATAGATGTTTGGAAATAAACCATCAAGTTAACTATCCACCCTTCCCTTTTCACACATTCACAAGAAAAAGAAGAGAGCAATGCTTGAATTATACTTGAGTTGTATTCTTCTATTTTTGTAAACTTGTGGTCCTCTTTGAAACTCCATGGCTATATACTAAGAAAAAATCTTAAATACAAAAAGAGCCCAGACTCATTGGTCACTGGTACAGTCCTTGGTCCTTTTCTTCCCATACTGTTTAAAGTCACTCGGAGATACTAAACAGAGTAGTGATGTAAACTGCTATTCCTAGAACACAGTGACTTAATGTGCTCAGGTTCTGCTTTTTGTTTTGCCAGGTTTCAAAAATGTCTTCATATTCTGATATCTTCAACCTGAGGGAAAGTTGTGAAACTACGGATATTCCCCCTGAAACCATGGTGCAATAGATGACACTATGCCCTAGATTCATCTTCAGAATCCTTTTCATCACAGTACTACAGGCAGCCACTCGTTTCAGAAGCCCATTCATCATGGACTGCTCAAATGCAAGGCGGACGAGGGAAGGAGGGAGACGGAGTCTTATTAAGGAAGGGGCTCTGACAGAGCTGGTGGTGGAGCTCAGTAGCAAGCTTGTACCTGACACACTCCAAGCCCTGGGCTCAATCCCAGTGCACGTGGGTGTGCATGCAGGTATACACACACACACATGCACGCACGCGGAGGGGGATAGATACAGACGCAAAAGAAAAAGAAATCCTGGAGTCACAGTGCTAAATTTAAAAAGAATAGAATGGTCTTTCCCCTTTCAGAGACACACACATCAATACCACATGTGGCTTGCTCAAGAGTATGTGTTGGGGGCTAGGGCGTGGCTCAGTGGTATGGAACATATGCAAGGCCCTGGGTTCAACCCCCTGGAATAAGACAAACAAAAATGAATATAAGTGCTGTCATGATAAAAACATCAATAGATTGGAAACCAGAATGTTAGATGCTATTCCTCTTTTAACTCAACCCGTCACTCCAGCTTGCCTGACACTTGCCTTTGAGTCTTTGAAAATGTATTTATCATATATTTAAAACATACGTGTATGTGCATGTGTGTGTTCCTGCTAGCAAATCTATTCTTATGCTAAAATTTAACTATTAGTAAAATACACAATTGAGAAAATAAGAGCCCCTGCTGTACCTCTCCTAGAGAAATGACCACTCGGTGACCAGGTGTCTATTCCGTCATGCTTCCCGTGTATATTTAGTTCAGTTTTAAACAACTGTATAATAGCCTGTTGTCTCAGCTTTCGAGTTGAGGACGGTATTATTCATTATCAATAGCACTGCAGTGAAGATCCTAATATATGTTTTTGTGCACTTGTATTTCCGTAGAGGAAATTCCTAGAAGCGAAATGGCAGGTGCGGAGATGTGCAAATTTAAGTTTTTAACAGAAATTAGGGCTGGGTATAGTAACTTAGTGGTAGAGCACTGGCCTAGCAAGTACCAGGCCCTGGATTTGATCCCCAGCACTGAAAAAATACACACATGCGCACAGTTTTAATAAAGTCAAATTGATCTCCAAATACATCATCAGTTTATACTCTCACCAGTAGTATGTTAGACTGCAAATTTCTGGCTTGCCTTTTTTTTTTGTGGCACTGGGGATCAAACTCAGGACCTTGTGCTTGAGGGGCAGGCAGTGGCACCACTGAGCTAAATCCTTGCCCCCTCTGGTTTGCCTTTTTAAAGGAACACAAAAACAATGAGAAAAATGTTAAGATTAGGCTTACATAATCTTAGGCCACAGTACTTAACAGGCAGAAAACAATTATGCATCCAAGAGGAGCAATATTACAGCTGCCAGCTGCCAGGGCATTATGACTGCAACAAACATCACAAAGGTGCCTTCTTGGACACTTTACTGATTTCTGAGATTTCCTCGGCATTACTGGAATACAAAACTAGAACAATCCATGGTTTCACTTTGAGGAAGAGATAAAAGGAGAAAGTTAACAGTATGGCTACTGTTACTATTATTACTTCATTTTCCATTCCAGCATTTTGTCTCAAGATCAAGACAGTACATCATTGAGAAGAAAGTAACAGAAGTGTAGATTCCCAAAAGCAATGCTGATTTTTTTTCTGTAGTGTTTGTGAAAACCAATTAAGTAACAAATTTGGATAGAAAAAATCATGCCCTTGAAAAATTGCTTCTTTGGTTTAGGTGTGTAGTTTAGTGGTAGACTGCCTGCCTAGCATATGTGAGGCCCTGAGTTTGATCCCTGACAGCACAAAATAAATAAATAAACAATATTTTAAAAGTGAAATAAGTGAAAATTACTTCTTGTTTACTTTAAATACAACACAACCTATCTTATGTGAATTTTAAAATAGTGAGCCAGTGTAGCACAGTAGACAAGATACTAGTTAACTAATAGTAATAACATCTTTGAATACTAACATAGGCACTGTGTTAAGTACTTTGCAAGTATTATCTTACTCAACCTTCATTATAATGTCATGAGGTGAATACTATTATTTTCCCCATTTACAGATCCAACATATAGCTTTTCCTTATGAAACATTTTAAACACAGTTACAAGTACAGATTTTAGACAGTGACCGATAATGCTGGAAAGTGCCTTTAAGTTCATCTTCTGTGACTCACTGCTCCCTTGGAAGACAAAATTGATTTCACCTTTATTTTTCCTGCCTTGGGTATTGTGAGGGTTAAACATTGTCACACAAAGATGATAAGTGATCCACTGCGGATTTACTCGACAATGAAGGGGAGAATTTTAAGCATGGTGGTGGATCCTCTCCAGCGGGTGGATCAAGAAAGCCTCTGAATCAGCTTTGGAGGCTGGGTGGCATTGCTTCACTTTCTTACTAATATTCAGGTGGGCAGAACATGACTCTGCTCTTCCAAAGATTTCCATACAGGAGAGGGCCTCAAAATAGCCCTAAACACACACCAGGAGTGTATCCTTGGTGCTCATGGAGAAAGCATCATGTAGGCAATTTACTTCATTGATGCATTATTTTGGAAATTTATGAGTTGCATCATAATGTGAGAGTAAGGAAGAAAGACCCAATGTACAGTAAAATCAGAATTACATTTGGCAGGGAAGGGAGCCATGCAGAAAAAGAAGGCTGTAAATCTTAGTAGGTACATGCTGGGCACAGCATGGGCAATAACTTTTGAGGTTTGCAGAAGAAAAAATGGCATCACTGAGACAAAGGTAGAAAACAGAGAAATGGATGTGAATGCACAAAGGGGGATTAACTTCATTCCACTTCAATACAAAAGTATATTGTGTTTATATTGAAATATCAATCCCAAACTATACTTCATCTGCACCACAGTCTATGTGTAATAAAGATGTTCTTCTTGAAATGAAGTATAATTAAGAAATCTCAGAAAGTTACCAGTTTGAGGGAAAATGGTAATCAGCCTTGAAACAATTTAAAAAGTAATGAAAGAGACAGAGAGTTGGTGAGTATGCACCAGAGGCTTCAGGAAAGAGGATCGATTATTACTGGTGTAACTGTTGTTATTTAATTCATTTGCAAATTATAATGCCATCTATGTCTGCCAATCTTCATTCATTTTAATATCTGTAGTTTATTAGATTCAATTCCTGAAAAATGTCTAGAGTGTCCAGCCATGTTTTTACCTGAGAAAATATTTCCTGAGAAAGAAATATTTTGGAAATGATTTTTTGAGCTTTAGGTTTCAAACTATCATTGCTTTCGGGGCCTTTAATTGCTTTCTGTTGAACTGGGAAGTTAATCTGGAATGTTTTCAGGATGCTCAAGTTCTTGTAAGCTTTATACCTAAAGCAGATTCGCAGCCATGCCGAGAACAACCTTTGAAGTTACCATGCTATGCTAGTATCTCAAAAGTTTTGCTTTGATCTGCAGGTACAATGTCTCCTAGGAAATATTCTTGTGATTGTTGTATTTCCTGTCACCAACAATTTTTATTCAATAATGTCCGTATTTCTTATGAACCAAGGTTGATATTATATGGGCAAAAAATTTTGTCAGCTCTGTTGTCTTTTATGATACAGAAGAGAATATTGCTGAAGCTATGTTATTTCTTAAGACAGAAAACATCAATCAATTCCTTGATTTTATTTTCTTATTTGTAGTAAGTGTGGGTTTTTGGAAGTTCTGTATAAATATATTTAATGACAATTTAATATATGTTTAATATTTAATAAAATATTTATTCATTATATTGCATATGAAGTTATGATTATTAAATGTGATGGGGAAGAGAGGAAAAGTTATGAAGAAAAAAGAAAGAAAAGCAGGAAATTTAACAAGGAAGATGGAATAGAAAGAGAAGTCAATCAAAATCAGATTAGAACAGGAAAGAAAGAACATCAAAAAATTTTAAAATGTAGACAGAAAATTAAAAAGAGGAAAATATGAAGTAATTATTTTCTACAAATATTACTTTATATGTATCTACTTCTGGAATAAATGTCTTTATTTCCTCAGTACACATAATTTGAAGAAAAATAAGTTCCAAGTCCTTTTCTTCCCAGGAATTATATTTGAAGGGAAAGAAGGTTTTAAAGGGATATTTAGTTCTCAATGTTCTTGAATGCAGGAGTAATACAGGATGGCTGTTACTTGTGGTTTTATAAGCATCACTTGTGGAGACTTTCCTACCTTGACGATTTGCTGTTAAGGTGTTCATGTATTTGTTTATTCTGAAAGTTAATTGAATAGCTTAAGGGATATGTTAGATTCAGTCAACGAAAGGGACTGACAATGCTGAATAAATGAATTAACTACAGTCACATCTATAAAAGCCATTTCCACATGAAAGTCAAAATGGTCTCTGAAAACTGGTATCTTAACTCTTCCAGAAGGCAATAGATACACAACACTGTATTAGGAAAATGTACTATCATTTAGAGTCCCTAATGTTCATACAAGCATTTCTAGTTTATTTTTCATGTTTTGAACCCAGCTTTGCTACCTGGACCCTGCCATTATTTCATTAGTTAGCACTCTGCCTGCTGTATGCACTTCAGCACCTGTGGTCTGTAACATTACTCCAGAACACACATCTGCTACCATATGCAACAACGATAGTGTACTTTTAAAGCAGCTATTACATTGGAATTTGGGTTTGAGTTTAAGTTGCCTCTTGAAGGTTTCTTCTCTGTAAGATGGTGATCTTTGAATATCAGCTGGCTACGTGCACAGTAGGCATTCAGGCTAACTCCCTGGGCTTATAATGCTTTGTTCTTGTTTCCTACTCATGTGTTGGTACATTGGGGTGTTTATGTGGCAGAGGTAACTCAGGATCAAGCCACTGGCTGCATGTACTGAAAGTCAATTGCTGAAAAAGACGAAGTATAGATTTCTTTGAAAAGAAGAGTCAGCAAAATTCTAAATGTATTACAGGACAACATAGAAACAGGCTCAGAGAGGAACACGGGTCACCCTTAGAGTATGGCTGATATGGAATAGGGACCTCCCTCCTCTTCTCAGAGCAGAAAACAGGACATTTTGAAATGTACATCGCCCCTGCTCCTGAATACAATGGTCCCTTTCATCTGTTTCTGGTGACTTTCATTTTCTTTTGTTCCTAGATCCCCTACATAATGGTAAGCATATCGCAGGCAAGCACAATGGTAAGCTGCAGGTGGACATTTCCTCTGCAGATGCAGACAATATCGGCCTGGCTGGCACTGCTTAATTCAGCCATTAACCCACTTTTCTACACTTTGGAGCAAAAGGTGCAGAAAAGCTCTTAAGAACTTAAAGGAGAAGATGCTTTTCAAATTTCATTTTCTGATTCAATATATTTTGGTAAGCCAGTCAGAAAATGCTAAGAAAAAAAGCAGAAAGGCCTTCCGAGGAGCCATAAACAACCTACAGGTAGGTCCCTTTTAAAAGCCAGCAACACGCATAACCTTCGGCAACATGCAACCCAGTGACTCAAAAAGTAACCTAGTAAGATGGAGAAATACAAGGATGCATTGCAATCAGTTTTTCTAATGGGGAAGAGAGATCCATCTGGACTGTAGGAATTTTCAATCATAAGCAAACAGCTCTCATATCCAGGTTTTAGACAGTCTGAGGGTGAGTGAGATGCCACTGACCCACAATCCTTAGAAGGTCAAGGTTTGCTGCCTAACCTCTCTGAAGCAGCTGCAATGGTTTCTTCTCTGGTTTTCCTGCCTCCATTAGTTTCGCCATCCAAGCCGTACTCCAGATAGTTGAAAGTAACCTCCCCAAGGAACTAGTGACTGAGATTTCTCACCTGACTGAAGCTTCAATGGCTGCCCATTCCCTGTAGAGCAGATAGGCATAAGACACTCTCCCATAGAACCTCACTTGCAATGTATTCTAGAACTCTAAAGAGGATAGCTATTTTCTGGACTTGCCTGATACAACCTACTGGCAAGCCTCTATTCATCTAGTCTCTTCTGCTAGGATGCTTATCCATTTCTCTTCTGAAATTAACCAACTTCCTCCCATCAATGGCATCAACTGTCCCCCATTCTCTTCTATAGAAATGTTACCTATTATTATGGGTTGAATTGTGTCCCTCCAAGAGATCTGTTCATCTTGACCTCTAGTACCTACGAATGTGCTTATTTGGAAATAGAGTCTTTGCAGATGATCGAGTTAAGATGAGGTTGTTAGGGTGAGTTCTAATCTAATCTGACTGTTGCTCTTATGCAAAAGCATGGGTATGGTTTGGCGCTGTCTGTCCCACCAAACAACTGCCATGTTCACGTGTTGGAGGCTTGCGCTCCATAGGGTATGGTAGCAAGAAAGAGGTGGAAGACTTGTAAAAGGGAGTGGTAGAACCTGGTGGGAGAGGTTTAGGTCACTGGGAGGGCCACAGAAAGGAATGTGGGACCTCAGCCTCTCTGGCTTGCTATCTTGCCAGACAATTTCTTCCTCCCACATGTCCCCTGCCATTGTGACACTATCAGCCACAAAATCCTCACCAGAACTGAGCCAGTGCTAATGCCTTGCCCTTGAATCTCCCAAATCATGAACTAAAAATTTCTTTTCCTTACAGTTGGCCTGTCTCAAGTATTCCATTGTAATAACAATATATAATTATAATAACTAATACTGGCATCTTAATACTTTTCATACTTATAATACTCTTCATCGTAATAATGGATACTGGCATCAACATGTACAGAGGGGAGATGATGCGAACACAGCTATGTGACGAGAGAGGCAGACTGAAGTGATGCAGCAGCCAGCAAAGCTGCAGTAAGGACTGACATCACCACTGGAAGCTAGGGCGTGACAAGGAAGGGTCCTACCCAAGTTCAGAGGGACCAAGGTCCTGCCAACACTTCAGTTTTGGACCCCTAGCCTCCAGAATTGTGAGACAATTAATTTCTGCCATGAAGCCTGTGTTACTTTGCTACTGTAGGCCTAAAAAACTAACCCAGCCATCCTTCAAGGCGTATGGTGCTGGTGCTCACTCTGGTAGGCCTTATCTGCCTTCAGTGTTTAATGGAAACCCCTGCATCTCTACGCTCTCCTTCAGCCTTACAATATTTTAAGAGTATGTCTTTTTGTTTATATTTTCCCTATCAAGTAGTGACCTGAGATACCTTTTATCCAGTTTATCTTTTTTGCCCCCCTCCCACCGTATACAGCCCTGCATTTAGAAAGGTTCTCATAGATGTGCACTGAATTAAGTGGAACGGACTCTACATTTTAAAAAATGCCAATGACAAATAACTTATAAGAAATTAATTTTAGGTGTCTTCTAACAATCTATTAACTCATAACCATTCCTGGAATGCTTACGAAAAATATAATGGAAAATGGGACGTGGACATTATCAGGCAATTTCAAGAACAAGATAATTTGAACAGGCATCACATTACTCATAATTAAAGCAATATAAACTCAAGCAAGTTACCATTTTCAACCATAAGATAAAACAAAATCCAAGTTTGATAATATACCGTATTGGCATTGATTTAATAATATCTGCATTTTCATTATCAGTGAGGATGAACATGAATACAACTTCTTTGAGAGGTGTTGTAAAAAGAAGTCTGACAAAATTTAAAATGCACATGACTCTGATCTCACAGTTCTGCTTCTAGAAATTTATCCTCAGTGAACACTCACATGAGTGTTCAACAATATATGTACAACTCTATTTGAGGCAACACTGTTCAAAATAGCCAAACAATTTTGGAACACTCATGTCAGCAAACAGGAGATTAATTGAACAAATTATAATTTTTGTTTTGTTTTTCGTTGTTGTTAGGAGTAGGAAAATTTATTGTGAAATAGGAGTGGGGAATAAGAATAGCTCCTGAGAGAGAAGAGGGGTCCCAAATGGGTTGCCCAACAAATTGTGGTTTTTAAAATGGAGTATTAGTCCATAGAAAGCAGGAACACTACAGAGTTGATAAGAAAATATCTCAAATATACATTATCAAATGAAAATAAATAAAAATAGACACTGCTCTATATAGTAAACTTCTATTTGGGGTAAGGATAAATTTATTTTCCTTAACAATTTCACTGGTAAAAGTTTTCTTCTTCCTGTAGTCCTCAGCAACCTCAGAATTCTTTCTATTCATTCACTGTTTCATTTATTCATTCATAAGAGATAGGCTCTCACTATGCTGCCAAGCTGGCCTGGAATTCTTAGATTCAAGCAATTCTTCTGCCTCAGCCTCACTTGTAGCCAGGACTACAGATCCATGCCACCATGCCCGGTGTCTTCCCTTTTAAATCGAGAACTGTGCACTTGCAGGAAGCCCTTGCATTTTCTCTGGTACATTGCCAGCATCACTACTCCTGTGTTTGGGGCTGTTATTAAGTAAAATAAGGGTTGCTTGTGCTGTGCTACGAGGATAGCTGGCCTGATAACTAAGATGGCTACTAACTTACTAATGAGCAAGTAACATATACAGTGTGTGTACACTGGACAAATGATGAGTCACATCTTAAGCTAGAGCAGGATAATGATAGATTTCATCATACGATTCAGAATGGGGAGTAATTTCAAACTTATAAATTGCTTATTTCTGGAATTTTCCATTCCATATTTTTGGACCATGATTGACTAAAGTTAACTGAGACTATGGAAAATAAAACTGCAGGTAAGGTGAGGCTGTGTGCTTGTTAAAATTTGTAATTTGCAAATGCGTTTGA